TTTGAGAAGGGGTCTCACTCTGTCATCCAGGCTGGAGTGCAATGACACGATCTCAGCTCACTGCAACCTTTGCATCCTGGGCTCAAACAATCCTTCTGCTTCAACCTCCCAAGTAGCTGGGACTACTGGCATGTGCCACTATGCTTGGCTAATTTTTGTATTTTTTTTTTTTTTGTAGAGATGGGGTTTCACCATGTTACCCAGGCTGGTCTTGAACTCATGTACTCAAGCAGTTCACCCACGTTGGCCTCCCAAAGTGCTGGGATTAGAGGCATGAGCCACTGCACCTGACCGAAAGTTTCTTGCTCTTTCCCTAAATAGAATAGGAAGAGAATCACAAATTTTAATTCTGCTACTTCCCCTTGAGGCACTAAGCTGTGAAGAGTAAGTACTCTAAAAAGGGAGTATCTTATTAGCTAACAAATAACAAGAGATACCTGTCTACTTCTTACAAAGTTAAAGTGAGACTTCCTTTTAAATTTCTAAAACATAATGCGACCGGGCACGGTGGCTCACGCCTGTAATCCCAGTGCTTTGGGAGGCCGAGACGGGCGGAATCACGAGGTCAGGAGATCGAGACCATCCTGGCTAACACGGTGAAACCTCGTCTCTACTAAAAATACAAAAAATAAAAATAAAAAAATTAGCCGAGCGTAGTGGCGGGTGCCTGTAGTCCCAGCTACTCGGGAGCCTGAGGCAGGAGGATGGCGTGAACCTGGGAGGCGGAGCTTGCAGTGAGCCAAGATCGCGCCACCGCACTCCAGCCTGGGCGACTGAGCAAGACTCCATCTCAAAAAAAAAAAAAAAAAAAAAAAAAAACCACCATAATGCATAGAAGACTAAAATGAACTCAAGGCTTTATTGTTAATTTTAATGTCATTGGTGTGCCAGTATCGTCCTACATTTCTGCTTGTCTGCTTACCAATTAGCACAGAGTAAATACTGATTGTTAGAAGAAAAATTAAACATGATTGTCAGGGAACATGTAGTGTCTTGGCACATAGGCAACAGACTTAGCATTTCTTTCTTCTTTTCTTTTCTTTTCTTTCTTATTTTGAGACAGTCTCGCCCTGTTACCCAGGCTGGAGTGCATTGGCATGATCTCGGCTCACTGCAACCTCCGCCTCCCAAGTTCAATCGATTCTCCTGCCTCAGCCTCCTGTATAGCTGGTACTACAGGCGCCAGCCACCACGCCCGGCTAATTTTTGTATTTTTAGTAGAGACGGGGTTTTACCATGTTGGCCAGGCTGGTCTCGAACTCCTCACCTCAGGTGATCCTCCTGCCTCGGCCTCTGAGAGTGCTGGGATTACAGGAGCAAGCCACTGCACTGGGCCTAGACTTAGCATTTCTCTTTATTTTGTTTTTTATTTTATTTTTTTGAGACAGAGTCTTGCTCTGTTACCCAGGCTAGAGTGCAGTGGTGCAATCTTGGCTTACTGCAACCTCTGCTTCCTGAATTCAAGCCATTCTCCTGCCTCAGCCTCCTGAGTAGCTGGGATTGCAGGCGCCCGCCACCATGCCCAGCTAATATTTATATTTATAGTAGAGACGGGGTTTCACCATGTTCGTCAGGCTCATCTCAAACTCCTCATGTCATGATCTGCCCAGCTCAGCGTCCCAAAGTGGTGGGATTATAGGCGTGAGCCACTGTGCCCCGCCTAGACTTAGCATTTCTGAGAGATTAGTTGTAGAGTGTGGACTTCTTTGGAAAATGAATATTTCTTTTGGAGCTTAAAAATTCTTGGCCATTTATACAAGAGTTTCAGTGAGTCTGGGAGTCAGAATAAGGATACCTGGATTTTAGTTCTTGCTCTGAGCAAGGCATTTAACCTCTTTGAACCTCAGTTTCCTCCTTCTGCAATAAGTAGGAGATTGAAATTGAGCCAAATGATCACTAAGAATCCTTTCATTCTTTTTTTTTTCTTCGAGATGGAGTTTCACTCTTGTCGCCCAGGCTAGAATGCAGTAGCCAGTAGCGCTATCTTGGCTCACTGCAACCTCTGTCTCTCAGGTTCAAGTGATTCTCCTGCCTCAGCCTCCTGAGTAGCTGGGACTACAGGCGTGCACCACCATGCCCGTCTAATTTTTGTATTTTTAGTAGAGATGGGGTTTCACCATGTTGGCCAAGATGTTCTCAATCTCCTGACCTTGTGATCCGCCTACCCTGGCCTTCCAAAGTGCTGGGATTACAGACATGAGCCACTGTGCCCAGCTCCTTTCATTCTTGAAGTTTTATTGCTACTCTCACAATATTGTAGAATCAGCAGTGAGCCATGACAAGATTTGGCTTTTATTTTATTTTATTTTATTTATTAGAGACAGGGCCTTACTTTATTGCACAGGCTAGTCTCAAACTCCTAGGCTCGAGGGATCCTCCTACCTTCACCTCTCCAAATGCTGGGATTACAGGAATGAGCCACTGTGCCTGGCCTTTCACATTTGGCAGGTGGTTTTTATTTTGGCATTTAAATTTGGCAGATGGTTTTAGCAGCTATACCTAGATCCATAAATCTATCTTGTTACACTCTTGTATGGTCATGTCTACATAGATTAGAAGGTACTGTTTCTGGGCTGTGTGTGTGTGTGTGCATGTTCAATGTGCCGGGTTTGAACTTACCCAAATATTCAAGGTAATGCTTATATCTGGGTCCTTCCATTTGCTTAATGTTTCTATACAGCAACTGGTTGTGTTCAGACTTTCTCTCTGACCTGCTTCTTCCAACTTGCTCTCTGGAGTCATACTCTTGACCTGGCCTCTCCTTTCTTGATTTGCATTTATTGAGAGGTTTTCAGGTACCAGGAACATTACAAAGCACTTCATTTCTGTTCATGTCATTTAATCCTTACAAATTCCCTGTACTAGTAATTTTTCTTTTTTTCTTTGAGACAGGGTCTCGCTCTGTTGCCCAGGCTGGAGTGCAGTGGCATGATCGTGGCTCACTGCAACCTCTGCCTCCTGAGTTCAAGCGATTCTCATGCCTCAGCCTCCTATCTGGGATTACAGGCATGTGCTACCACTCCCAGCTAATTTTTGTGTTTTTAGTAGAACCAGGGTTTCACCATGTTGGCCAGGCTGGTTTCAAACTCCTGACCTCAGGTGACCTGCCCGCCTTGACCTCCTAAAGTGCTGGGATTACAAGCGTGAGCCACCACGTTCAGCCTTGTACTAGTAATTGTTGTTGTGTACTTTTATAATACTAGAAAACTGAGACTTAGAGAGGTGAAGTAACTTGTCTTGAGTTAACACTTAATAAGTGGTAGAGCTGGAATTAAAATTTCAGACTGACTCCAAAGTTCATGCTCATAAGTAATATACCATATTGGCTCCATGATGATGATGATAATGGTGATAATGATGTTGTTAATTACAATATGTTGAGCACCTCTTGAGTGCCAAGCAATGCATTTGCCACCTTTTGCATTCCCATTTTACAACAATGGAAACTGCTCTTGCTATGGTCTGCTTTTATGCTAATAAGTATAAGTACCTAGGTTCCAAAGTATTGGGCATTATTAAATTGAATTGTGCTTTCAGTGCATTTTTCCTTTTACTTTCTTTCCTGTTTTAATGGTCAACATCATAATGTTTTTCTAATGACTACCAATATTAACAATTTAATGTTGTCTGAATGTTTCTGCACTTTTTTCCCTCACTGATGCCTTAGCATTGAGGTTTTCTTTTTTGTTACCTTTGCTGTTTTTTTCTCTATCAAAAACAGATAATGGGGCTAAGATAATAGAGAAGAGAATGTACCAAGGACAGGCTAAATACGGGAAAGTTCAGATGCTAGAAATCTTCTGGGATCTCAGTTTGGAGACTAAAGATTTAAATGAAAAACTCCCTTTTTTTTTTGGTAGCTGTCTTTTTTAAAAAATTGTTTTAATTTTTTTTTTTTAGAGACAGGGCTCACTATATTGCCAAGGCTGGACTCAGACTCATGGGGTCAAGTGATCCTCCCACCTCAGCCTCACTCTCAGTCTCAGTAGCTGAGACTACAGGTGCACGCCACTCCACCCAGTGGTTGCTGTCTTTTATTGAAGGAATATTAGCACTTTGGTACTTACTAGCTTGGTGATATAAGACACAGGATTTGACCTTACTAGCCCTAGTTTTCTTATCTGAAAATAGGGTAAATAAATATACCTCACAATGCATGGTTAGTTGTGGTGATGATTAAATGCAGTAACCAGTGTAAAACTCCTTAATATATTACTCAAAATTGTTAGCTTCCTCTTTTACCTTCAGATGTTAGTGGAATAATCCAGGTTATGTGGAGGTTATGTTAAGGTTGTGTTATGTGTGTCTTTTTAACATTTAGAAAATTTAGTGTTACTATACTAAATAAAAATTTATCAAGCTGTATCCTTAATATTTATGTACTTGGCTGTATGTAAGTTAGTTATGGATAAAAAAGGAAAAATCAATGTGCAAATTGGACGTTCATTTGCCGCATGTGATTAGGTGATATTTCTATGTATTATGCCCAGCATGTAGGGCTACTCTTTGTAATTTCTTATTCCCCAAGATTATATGGAGATTATTGATTTTTAGCAGGAAGAGACTATTATATATGCCTTCCAAATATTTATTTCAAGTTTATTGTTTTAGTAAGCAGATTTTCAGAAATAGTTGTCCGTATTCTCAGAAAAGATATATTCAGTCCTAAAATATTGTTTCTAATGTTATTAATTCCCAGTACATAGATCTCACCTTGCTTTGGGCATGCCCACCTATAGGTAGGAAATAAAATTTTAGAATAAATAGCATGTCTTCGTCTGTTCAGGCTACTATAACAGAATACTATAGACTGGGGGGGCTTAAACAAACATTTATTTCTTTTATTTTTATTTGTTTATTTTTGAGGCAGGGTCTTGCATTGTTGCCTAGGCTGGAGTGCAGCGGTGTAATCACAGCTCACAACTCACCTCTGGGCTCAAGCAATTCTCCCACCTCACCTCCCCTCCCTCCAGTAGCTGGGGGCTGCTGGCACACGCCACCATGCCTGGCTAATTTTTAAATTTTTTAGCGACAGAGTCTCATTATGTTACCCATGCTGATCTCGAGCTCTTGGGCTTAAATAATCCTTCAGCCTTGGCCTCCCAAAGTGCTGGGATTACAGGCATGAGTCACCAGGCCCAGCCACAGACATTTATTTCTAACAGTTCTGGATACTGGGAAGTCCAAGGTCAAGGTACCAGGAGACTGGGTATCTGTGAGGGCCTTCTTCCTGGTTTCCAGACAGTTGTCTTCTTGCATAGCCTCACATGATGGAAAGAGAGAGCTGTCTGGGTCCTTTTTGATAAAGTACTAATCCTATTAGCAAGGGCTTTACCCTCAATGACCTAATTATCTCCCAAAGAACCCACTTCCTATACCATCACACTGGGCGTCAGAATTTCCATATATAAATTGTAAGGGGATACAAACATTCAGTCCGTAACACAGTGAAATCTGATACTTTTGAGGTAAACCTGTGTCTAAAACACACCTTTGAATGGATTACTGCTCCCATTAGCCTTTTACTCATAACCATCCTGGTGTTTTTGTGTGATTAAATTTGTAAATTCTTTGGTGTACTCTTGAGCAGGCTCCCTTTCTTCTATGACTCAGAGCCTGGAGAGTTCCAGCCAAGCTCAAAAGTCAGGAACAGGGGGTGTGGACTTTTGGGCTATGCCAGTCAGCAGCTAGAATGTGGTTGGCAGTCTCCTCCCCTTCCTGCACTTCAGCTCTACACAGTGTGCATTCTGGAATGACAGGCATTCCTGGGTGAAGAGAGCCAGTGTGAAGAGAGTTTTGTAAGAACTGTAAGTGCCCAGGCTGTATGGGAAACAGAAACTTCAGCAGATGAACTGACCTTATGCCATTTCCTGATGTTTGGCAGTGACACTGAAAGAGGATCGCATGTCCCCTCTTTATGTGGATTTATCTTTTATGAAAAGTTTGCTTTTGTCCGGGACAGTTTGTTGTCGTGAGATACATCAGACAATATAATCATGGGGCAAGCCGATGTCTCCAGACCGGTAAATCCAGATGCAGTTGGTGAGTAATAGAAGGCAGAGAAACAGAAAATCTTGACGGAAGCAAGGCAGATTTACAGGTGAACTTGAGTATTTATGTGAAGTTAAACACGAGAATGTTGATGATCCCAACTTTGAAATGTTTATGTTTGTGAAGAATGAATGAAGTCATGCAGAACATGGCGAGAAACTTTAAAAAATTAGGTTTTTTAAAACTTAAAACCTTAAAAATTTAGTTTATTAATTTATCACTCACAGTTTTGTTTTACTTGATCTCTTTGAAGTTTTTTATATTATATTGCTAAGGAATTATCTGTTAATTTCTTGCCGTTACTAAAGATAAATGCTACAGAAACGTATTTAGAATTCGAAGATATTTTGCTAGTATTTTACAAAACTTGGAAAATAGAACTGTTAACTTCTGTAGACAGAACCACTTTTAAGAATTAAGTTTTTAGACTTGGTTATACATTTTCCTAATAAGTCTCAGGCATTTTCCATTGCGCTAGTGTTTCCGTTTCTCTTAAGTCAATGCTTTGATATAAACTTTTCTGAAGTTGGTACATTTGAAATGTTACTGTCTAAGAGATAGCTAGAGACCAAGCTGATTGTGAGTATAGCTCAGAATTTCAAATCATCTACGTGCAATGGTAGTCACTTGTCACTGCAAGCTCATTTTCCTAATCTCGTAGGGTTTTATATAAGATGACAATCATAAATTGGGAAAAACAGTTTTAAGCGGATGTTCATTAAAGGGTTGATTAAATATAAGCAAAACTAGGGAAAGCCTGTGAATCATTTCTGGACATTATAATATTTAAATAAGATTTATACCTTCACTTGGATTTATGGAGAAGCAGAAAATATGTTCAGTCCTAGGCTGTGTTTTTTGTTTTTTCAGAAACAAAAAATGTTGGTGACTTTAAAAAAATGCATAAAGTGTGGAAACACAGGTAACACTCCCAAATGTTTTGTAATGTAATGAGATTTTGTTTCTAAGGGTAGTATTTTCACCTGAGAACTTCCTAGATGAAATATCTTCAGCAGTATTTTTCATGTGTTACTGACACTGAGGCACATGGATCACAAAGTGAGTCATTCAGCAACAAATTTTCAGAACTGAAGTCAGGACTTGACTCACTTTACCTTGATCACTAGGGCTGTGTCTTTATCAATTCATTAACTCACTTAAAAAAATGAAATGTTGGCCGGGCGCGTGGCTCAAGCCTGTAATCCCAGCACTTTGGGAGGCCGAGACGGGCGGATCACGAGGTCAGGAGATCGAGACCATCCTGGCTAACACGGTGAAACCCCGTCTCTACTAAAAAAATACAAAAAACTAGCCGGGCGAGGTGGCGAGCACCTGTAGTCCCAGCTATTCGGGAGGCTGAGGCAGGAGAATGGCGTAAACCCGGGAGGGGGAGCTTGCAATGAGCTGAGATCTGGCCACTGCACTCCAGCCTGGGCGACAAAGCGAGACTCCTTCTCAAAATGAAATGTTGGCCGGGCGCGTGGCTCAAGCCTGTAATCCCAGCACTTTGGGAGGCCGAGACGGGCGGATCACGAGGTCAGGAGCTCGAGACCATCCTGGCTAACACGGTGAAACCCCCGTCTCTACTAAAAAAATACAAAAAACTAGCCGGGCGAGGTGGCGGGCACCTGTAGTCCCAGCTATTCGGGAGGCTGAGGCAGGAGAATGGCGTAAACCCGGGAGGGGGAGCTTGCAATGAGCTGAGATCTGGCCACTGCACTCCAGCCTGGGCGACAAAGCGAGACTCCTTCTCAAAAAAAAAAAAAAAATTGAAATGTTTCATAAATAGAAAAAGGTATAAAGAAAAACATAAAGAATCATCTGGGACCGCTACCCAGCCTAACAGATGAAATTTAGAACATAAAGATAAACCTCATCTTATCCTTCTCTTCTGCATTCCCTTCTGATGACATTTTGCTTCTTTGTTTCCAGAATTAAACATTCTCCTATATTTGATAAATAACTCACTTTTGGGCCATAAATTCTCCTGTGGTTTCTATGCCAAACAGTAGTTGTTTGTTAGCAAGTATAGTAAGGACTCAATGCTGGGCATTTATCTATGAATGGAAATGAAAGGGCTTTGAAAAACAATAAATTGTAAAGCAAGTACAATTTAGTGGTAAGTGGTGGTATTTAAGAAGAATGTCGGCCGGGCGCGGTGGCTCAAGCCTGTAATCCCAGCACTTTGGGAGGCCCAGGTGGGAGGATCATGAGGTCAGGAGATAGACTCCGTCTCAAAAAAAAAAAAAAAAAAAAAAAGAAGAATGTCCATCTAACATCTATATACTGTATCAAAAAGTTCATCTGAGTAAAGTTTGGTATTTTTATGCTTCTGAAAAAAAGTAAGAATCAAATTCATCAATTCTTTTTTTTTTTTTTTTTTTGAGATGGAGTCTCACTCTGTCGCCCAGGCTGGAGTGCAGTGGTGCGATCTCGGCTCACCGCAACCTCTACCCCCCGGGTTCAAGTGATTCTCCTGCCTCAGCCTCCCAAGTAGCTGAAATTCATCAATTCTATTCCTACCAGTAGCCCTAATAAAAGACATTTGAGGAAGAAATAGAAATCAGGAGCCTAACTAAGGTTTTTATGTTTCCTCTGGATTTAATTTTGGGGTTTTACTTCCTATTACCTAGATAATAAGTAGTTGACTATAAGCTATTTTCATGGACTGACTCCATTATTGTGCTATTTATAATTCAGGATGTATTCTCTTTGAGCAGATCAGGATCAGGTTATGAAGGTTTAACATTGAAAACCTTGAGAACTATACCAATTCCATTAAAGGTTTTCACCAAACAACAGTTTCTTCATTTAAGTTTAAAAGCCTTTATGTGGGTAGCTGATTGGAAAATCTTACCAGATTATTTGGAATGATAAATGTACAAAGTAAATTAAAACCTAAATTATTTGTTTACTCTTCTAGGCCTATGATATAGCACTTAATTTTGAGCTTTGAAATTAACAGTGCTAGGTTTGACAAGTCAACTGATGCAAAACACATGATGAATACATTGAATTGATTTATTATTACTTTCAGGCACTGTGAATAACAGAGAGGCCCCTGTGTAGATACCATTCATGTCTAGGCCCTCAAGAAGTTTGTTTTGTAGTTGAGAATTTAAAATATGAAAAAGGTATCCAAAATATTTATAATTTTTTTTTTAATTAAGGCATACTTCTTTTTTTTTATTTGATTTTTTTTTTTTTTACTTAAAAAATTTATTTTTGTAAAAATGGGGTCTCACTGTGTTGACCAGGCTGGTCTCCAACTCTAGCCTCAATTGATCCTCCCACCTTGGGCTCCCAAAGTGCTAGGATTACAGGTGTGAGCCACCAAGCCCATCCCACTCCTTTTTTTAAGTTAATGGATTCCCTTGACTTGTAATGGAAGCCCAGAGCTATTAACCAAAGAGTCTGCTTTCAAATAAATAATCTTTGCATGAGGACTCATATGCAAATTTATGAGCTATTACAACCATATCCAACCAGAGTTTCTACTGTAGGATATTTCTGACAACCGGTAAACTGAGTATTTGAATGTAGATTAGGAATCTGTGCTGTGGTATCCATTCAAGGAAATATGTTCTCATCAGTTAATTGAAAAAAATTATCCTTAAATAAAATATGTTCATAGGAGAAGCATGTAGATTTATCTAGATAAAGCATTGCAGTTGGGGCAGAGCACATTAGTTCATGCCTATAATCCCAGCACTTTCGGAGGCTGTCGCAGGAGGATCACTTGAGTCCAGGAGTTTGGTACCAGCCTGTGCAACGTAGGGAGACACCGCTTCTACAAAAATAAAACTTTAGCCATTGTGGTGGTACTCATCTGTAGTCCCAGCTACTTGGGAAGCTAGGTGGGAGGATTGCTTGAGCCTGGTAGGTTGAGGCTGCAGTGACTCATGATTGCCCCTCTGTACTCCAGCCTGGGTGTCAGGGAGACACTGTCTCAAGAAAAAGAAACACAAACTTTCAAATCCTACTTGGTAGTTCTTAATGAACATAAAAACTGGTTTTTTGCTCACCAAAATTCTTTACTATGTGTCATATTAAAACAACTAGCTAATTATCACATATCCTTAAATTAGGCACAAGACCAAAGAATTTTTTCAATTGACTTTTTATTTTTAAACTTTTTTTTTTTTTGGCCGGGTGTGGTGGTTCACGAAGCCTGTAATCCCAGCACTTTGGGAGGCCCAGGTGGGAGGATCATGAGGTCAGGAGATTGAGACCATCCTGGCTAACACGGTGAAACCCTGTCTCTACTAAAAATACAAACATTAGCTGGGCATGCTGGTGCGTGCCTGTAGTCCCAGCTACTCGGGAGGCTGAGGCAAGAGAATCGCTTGAACCAGGAAGACAGAGGTTGCAGTGAGCCAAGATCGCGCCACCGCACTCCAGCCTGGTGACAGAGCCAGACTCTGTCTCAAAAAAAAAAAAAAGGTTTTATTTGTTTGTTTGTTTGTATATTTATTTATTTACTTATTTTCGAGATGAAGTCTCACTCTGTCACCCAGGCTGGAGTGCAGTGGCGTGATCTCGGCTCACTGCAACCTCTGCTTCCCAGGTTCAAGTGACTCTCCTGTCTCATCCTCCCGAGTAGCTGGGACTACAGGTGCCCACCACTAAGGCTGGCTAATTTTTGTATTTTTAGTAGAGATGGAGTTTCACCATGTTGGCCAGGTTGCTCTCAAACTCCTGACCTCAAGTGATCTGCCTGCCTTGGCTTCCCAAATTGCTGGGATTACAGTTGTGAGCCACTGCCCTGGCCAATTTATTTTTTTTTAATTGAAAATAATTGTACCTGTTGATGGGGATACATAGTGGATATTTCAATATGTACGATGTGATTAGATTAGGGTAATTAGCATATTCATCATCTCCAATATGTATTATTTATTTGTATTGGGAAGGTTGAAATACTCCTCAGCTGTTTGAAACTATATATTATTGTTAACTATAGTCATCCTGAAGTGGTATAGAACACTACAACTTTTTTCTCCTATCTAGCTATAATTTTGTATTCTTTAACAAATCTTTTCCTATCCT